GCGACGTCATGGTGGGGAGGGGCCTGAGCTGGTTATTAGTGGGGTCCTTGAGAAGTTTGCTGCCGCTGCTCAAGAGAAGGGGCCACCAGACCCCGGAGGACCCAGAGACAGAATCAGCTCTCGGGCCCTACCCTGAGGCGCCGGGAGGTATCTTCCAAAGAGGTCGTTTTAAAAATGGACCCAACGGGAACCCTGGAGCGCAGAGAGGGACGGAGAGACGGACGGAGAGAGGGACAGAGTTCAGCAGCCGCCTCTGGCCCCTCACCAGGTGCCCCTTCCTGACTGGTCGGAGGCGCAGCGTGGGGCGGAGCCTGGAGGCTGGGACTCGGCGCTGCCCTGCACTGCCCGACCCCACGGCACTGCCCCGTGCTGCCCCGACCCCACGTGGCTGCTGTCACCTGCCGACAGTGCGCTCCCGACTGCCACTTTGACACACACTTGAATTTGCCTCCGGGAAACAGCAAGTCACCAAAAGACGTGAGACGTCACACTCAGTGCCAGGTGGTGGCACCTGGCATAGGTGAACTCCTTTCCCTGCTTTCCTGAGTCAGGCTGTGGGGACACCGCTGGGGCTGGTGACAGGGGGTGGGGGATGTCCTTCAGAGTGTGGCTCTCCCTGATGTGGTGGACTGAAGGCAGGCAGTAGGTGCCAGCGAGGTGCGGTGCCCCTGGAGCCGGCTGGGCACGAGGGCCAGGAGCTGGTTTGGGCGAGGACGCTGCCAGTCCACTTGGCCGCGGTGAAGGGAAGAGCAATGTCACTGATATTTCACAACCCAGGCCCTTGGCCGCCAAATGTGTCTTTAAGAGCCTGAGACTTCGGAAGCCCCGAGGCTGTCCAGGGCTGTCCAGGGCAGGCTTGGGGCAGGAGAGGGAGGGCGGAGGTTCAAAACCCAACCACCACCCAGGAAGGGGCGGGTCTGGAGCCCTCCGCAGCCTCTGAGGGTGTGGGGGCTTGTCCCCAGAGGGACGCCGCCATGGCGCCTGAGAATCTGCACCTGTGGCCAGGCCCAGGGAGGCTGCCCGGGGCCACAGGAGACCTCTGCAGGGCTGAGCCGCCCGTCCTCTGCAGCCCGGGCTCCTGGCCAGTGAGAACAGCGGGTCCCAGTGCCGGGCCTTGCGCGCACGTGGCTCAGCCCCTCTCGCCCTCCTGCAGGGACCCTCCACCCCAGGAGGAGCTCTCGCCAAAGGCGCCCCTGCTGGTAAGAGGCAGAGGTGACCAGGGACGCCCAGGCCTGGCTCCCTGTCCCTCAGTCACCTTGGAGGGCCCTCTGCTGGGGGGTGTCACCCAGGTGCAGTGGCACTCAGCCCTGAGAGGAATTCTGTCACCTCCTCCTGGGACACCTGTACAGCTCTCAGGGCTGAAGGTCCTGGGGTCCTGGGGCAGGACGCCCCTCCCAGAGGCAGGAGGCAGGCGGGGGCCGTCTCTGGGCTGTGAAGGTCTCTGTCATGGGCCGATCACGTTCTCTCCAAATGTGCCCTATGGAGCCCTGGCCCCCAAGGTGACTGCACCTGGACTGGGCCTTTAAGGAGCAGTTAAGGTGACATGGGTCACAGGGTGGGCAGAGAGAGGGAGAAAGGCCACGGAGGACAGAGAAGGTGGCCACCTGCAAACCCAGGCCTGGCGGCACCCTGACCTTCGGCCTCCAGGACGGTGAAGATGGACTGTGAGTTCAAGTCCCCCCCAGGCAGTGGGACGTGGTGAGGTGGAGACCACAGGAACCTGAGCCCGTCCACTGGGACCTGGGGTGCAGCGCCGGCACCTCCAGGAGCCTCCGGGAGGCAGCCGCAGGCCCTGCCCAGAGTCTGCACTTTGGCAAACCGCAGTCCAGGGGGGTCTCGGCGGGGCTCGGGGACAGAAGAGCAGCTGGGCACAGCCCCCAGGAACTGGCGCACCTGGACCGCGGAGGGCTGCAAGGGGTCATGGACGTGTATTGATCAGACTCGTCCCTGAAGTGGGACACAGGCGACTTAGAAATCAAACCAGTTTTATTGAAATAACAGCAACAACACCGTGGCCCGTGTTCACGCAAAGCACAGAAAACATTCACAATGAACTTTTGTACACAGGAAGTAGTAAAATACATCGTTTTTCATAGAAAAAAGCACACACGTCAACTGCGGGCTGCGTGAGCCTACAGATAATAGGGGGCCCGCTGCCCTCGGAGCACAGGGGGCGAGGGTCTGAAGCCAGTGCAGACGTTTGTGGGGCAGGAGGCCCAGCGATGCCCTGGCTGGCACCGTCTCCCGGGCACGGCTGTGCGGAAGGCACCGGGCACTGCTGACCGCAGGCAGAGGTGGTCCCTGGTCACAGGGGCTTATCCTTTGTGTCCTATTCCCATTTTCTGGGGAAGGAAATGGTTCCAGTTTCAAATGGTCCCGGGGAAGAAGACGGCCAGGTGTGGCCCCGGGAGGACACTCCTCCGGTTGGAGGCTGCCCAGGAGGGGAGGGGGCCCAGGGCTGTGGGGCCCGTCACACTGGAAGCCTCCATTCCCGGGGGGGACACCCCAGAAGCCAACCACAGGGTCCCCCAGGAGTGTCCAAGACCCAGCCAGCAATCCGACTGTCCTGCAGCGGTGACCCCGCCACAGCCAGCGGGCAGGGTGCACCTTGCATTGCGAGGTCCCCAGGTGCCAGGTGGGATCTAGGCTTCTACCCAACAGGCTGACAGCCCCCTCCCTGCGCCACGTGGGGTGGAAGGGTTGGCACCCACAAGGGCAGAGGGAGACAGGGGCCAGGTGCCGCGCGTCCCAGGACGCGCCCCACAGAAACTGGAAAGGAGGCACCTCCGGGCCCTGCCGTCCCTCTGCTGTCCACGGCCGGGTGGGGTCGCGGCCACAGGCAGAGCCGCTAACCTCGGTGAGGAATGTGCCTAGGAATCCGTTCCTCCCCTGCTGACCTATTTTTTAATAGGTCAGTGAAGATGGGGGCCGGCCTGTCGCACAGTCATTTAAGAAGTGGCGCCCAGCCTGGAGCTCAGAGAAGTGGCCCGCGGGACTGCCTGCCAGAGAGAGCCCCGAGGCCAGCCAGGGGCGGTGCAGGCCGGGCAGAGGGGAGGGAGGGTCCTGGTCATCAGTCCTCAACGAGACCAAAGGTCACAGCGGAAAACAGACAGGCCACAGGGAGGAGGCAGCGAGGACACAGACCTCTGGGCCCCGGGGTCTCAGGCACCAGCACTGCTGAGCTCAGCCCCCAGGACTGCGGGCCGCGGGCGCCTCCAGGGCCAGCCGCAGGCTCCCGCCGGCCCAGCGCTCTTGTCTGACCAGCAAACACTAAGCCCACCTTCCTCCACGTCAGGGACGGACTGTGCTTTTTTATTTTTAAATAACTACTTTATACCCCGTTTCCCAGACTCCCTGCACCTGCTCCCCAACCGCCCCACGCCCCCCACCTCCGTCTCCAGCTCTGGACCCTCTTCTCCCTAGAGCTCAGGGTCCTCCCCTCCACCTTGGCACTGACCCCTAGAGGGGGAGAGGCCCAGTGGAGGCCCAGGCCCGAGAGCTGAGCAGACAGCCCCGGAGGCCTGGCTCCAGAGGGGTCCCACGTCACCCTGGCCAAGGCCACGGAGGGCGTGGCCCTGAACGCCATCCACAGAAGCTCCCCGACTCTCGGCAGTCCCACCCCACCCGACCCCAGACGACAAAGTCAAAACCAAAGCAAAACCGCGAAGCCCTGCTGCAGACGCCCGTGTCCCGGTGGTGAGCGGTCACTGCCTGACGGCAAAGATCCGGAAGGCCTTCCCGTCCCCGGGCGAGCTCAGGCTGAAAGAGAAGGGAGAGGGTGTCACTGAGGGAGCGGGCGGGCAGGAGAGCCATGGGCTCCGCAGAGCAGGCCCACAGGGGGACGAGCGACGAGGGACACCCCTTGCGGCCCGGATGAGTCAGGACCTGGCAGGCCCCGCTTCCTGTGCAGAGGAGCCCAGCCCGAATCTAGGTCAGGGCTGGAGTGCTTCAGCCCAACTCGGGATCCTTGTGGCCCAGCACGGGCGGGGCTCTCCCCAGGACCCCGCTCCGTGTCTGCCACACCTTCCACCAGATCACGGCCACCTAAAGGACAGGCTCTTAGGACGGTAGGAGAAGGCACAGGTTCTGAACAGGCTCCCGCCAGGGCCTCAGCCTAGTGCACCTCCTTCCCCTGGGTAGGCTGTCCTCCAAGGAGGACCCCAAGGAGGACACCCAGGCACCAAGAAACCCTGTGGCCAGGCCAAGGTCACACGGCCAGGCCAAGGTCACACGGCAGAGTCGCGCCCTGCGGCCAGCCCGACCTGCTCACCAGCTTATGGAAGTCTAAGCTGCTGTGCGGGCGCGAGTCTCCAGTCTCCAAAGGCCTAACAGGGTCGTGCTCCTCTGACCTGCAGGTGGACCCCGCGGGGAGAACTGCCAGGGTCAGGTCCTCCCGACTCGCGGGCCGGGAGTCGTGGGCACAGGC